CTTTTCGAAGTGCTTCTCTGCTACAAAATCGAAGGTGATTTCGAACATGGGCAGGTGGCAGTGCGATCATCCTATGGAATTGTTTTCACACCGGTGTGGATACTCTTCCTTGCACTTTGTATACAAACATGTAGGCTTTTCTAGAATAACTTCAAAGCCTAGGAGTCATGTTTTAAATATATGTTGAGCGGTTACATGCGAGATTCATAACTGGTCTTCTTAATACGGGTGTTATTTCATAGTTTGAACTTTTATTTATTATAAATTACTATAATTTTGGTAATAGAGATAAACCATTTTAGATTCCGAATTCTTTAGTACCCGAAAAGTAGTAAATATTTAAACAAGATTCAAGAAGAGACCAAATAAGTTGAACAACAAGAATTCACTGATCACTGAGTATCACTCCTAAACTTTGAAGGACTTTCTCCTACTCATCAATATCATCACATGAATCACAGTCTAAATATTCCTCGCTCAAAAATTCGTCCCTCGTTACTTGTCGCAGCTTAAGCGGCAATTTGCGGTGCCATATATGGTAGTCTGAAGCATCAGCTTTATCGGACTTTGCAAGCTCTTCCAAACGACGATCCTAAACATGTCTTGTCTGAAAAAAATAAGCAAGTATATCGCCCACATACCTCATTCCTGTCTTGTCGCTGAGTCATCCTCTGGTTGATCTAAAAGTATATATGGATACCAATTTTCTTTCAAGTTTATATGTCGTTGGTGTCATCAACTGAATTTTTTGCGCAAGCATACCCTGAGTTCGATTTTATCCTGCATCAACTTGATACATAATCGTGCAATATTGATAGAATCGTCGAGACCGCAATGTTTTTGACCTTCGAAAGTAAGGTTGTAGTGGGCCAACATATTTTGAATACCCGACTGCTAAAAGTATTCACAGCATAGTTGGTTCAGAAAAAGGTTTAAAAATCCTTTAACCTACTCCATTGCCCTTCACAAGCTTCATAACTCTTTGCTCGAAGATACGCTTGATATTGATGAAATGTCTGCAATCATGCGGAACGGTTCCGAAGTTAGACTGCAATAATCAAAGCGTGATTTTATTCTGTGAATTTACGCAAAGAACTAACCAAAATACATTGGAACTGGAAGAACTTCCATAAATCATGCGGTCTGCAAGAAGAACTTCTATTTAGAAGAGAAACTTTTGAAGAAACGTGGAATCGATTTTACCCATCCGTTACAAACGCATA